ACATATTGGCTCTTGCTGATAAGGAGAGAGAAAAAGAAAGTTACATTTTGCAGTAATTGCATACCCTCTTTTTGTTGAAAAATAAGAATAATAAAAATTCATTAAGAGGAATTCATCTGCTCCAACAAAAGCAATTACTGCCAGCAGGAGATCTGAGCATAAAAAGTCATCCAGCTTCACCACACACAAAAAAGACTCCATCCATTCCCCCATATTTCCCTTGGCTATTTTTAAAAGTCTGCTTAATTTTTTTGTTTACCTTGAGTGGAGGCTCTTCACGCTGCGCCCTGCCAGCTGGTACAAACATGAAAGACGGCTCCTTCATGAATAATTGGGCTTTGGACTGTTTTCAGAGCAGAGATGCACACAATAGATGTCAGCCACTAATTATTGCAACATTCTCTATCATATTAATACAATTTCAATGACGATATAAAGAGCCAATTAAGATCAAGAGTCCACAGCTTTTGAAATCTGTTTGCATTTAACATTTTAGCAGCTTTTACTGATTGCTTTTCCACCTATCCAAACTTCTCTCATCTTCACACAAATTAACATTCTCAATAACAGCCCATGTCCTTCAACTAAGCGCGTTATTTGAAATATATACAAGAAAAAGCTCTTCATAAAAAAAAATGCTAAAAAATCTGTTTTGCAGAAGCCCAACCCGCTGCCCTCGGCACAACCCTCCCATATTTAACACGTTGGCACCGACGCTTATTTAATATTTCCAACGACACTGAAAACATTTCCCTTCTTGTTTGTGCTCCCTGGTTTGATTGGAGAGCACCTCAGTTACATCTTTATGCAAAGCACACTGATGAAGCAGCCACTTATCATCAAGCGACTCGTGGTGTTATACATCAAAGTTTCAAGTTAGCAACTAATGCACGCATTATTAGTCCCGATGAGGCATGAAGCAGTGTCATTATGCATACATATTAGAGGAACGATATTCCCACCTCCACCTATGACTTTACAATGGGGGAAGAGTAATTTACCTCCTTGTAATAAAAGAAAAATGTTTAAACTCCTGTTCTTTATGTCTTGCATTCACTTACAATGACATTCAGGTATTTTAATGCATTTTTTTACACACATGAGAATAAAATAAATCTTCACCTGAGAGGTGAGTTTTTTATTATTATTATTATTTTTATTTGTAAACCAAATAAGCTCCAAACAGACAGGGCTGTGGATGTGTCTGCGAGTTTTAATGAGACATATAAACACTTTCAATTTAATGTCAAAGCAGTTCTGGGGAAACTGACTGAAGCAAAACCCAGAAAATATCAATAAATCTTAATTTTTTTTCTTATATAAGGAAAAACAAACATACAGATGAAATTGGTGATATTTTTGTGTTGTATTATTAAATCTGAGGACACTTTAGAGCCAACACTGAAAAAATTCTCTTCAAAACCATGAAGGCATTTGGATTTCCCTCCCTTTCATACAACTGCATCTATGGCCAGTGACAACGTTTCAATTAAATTCAAACAGTTTGATGTTTGGTGATTAATCAATGTGCTCAAGCCTTAAAATTTACACACTGGCTTCTAGAACAGGTTCTAAATACATTATCTAGATTGAGGAGACTACTATTTTTCAACCTGGGTCTTCATGTTTTAGATATGTCTCATCTAAAAGAAACATATCTAAAACATGAGGCTTTTGAAGCTTGTAATTCTCCCATTAAGTTAAGTCAGGTGTGTTTGACAAGGTAAAGATTTATAACACCTAAAAATGCAGATTGAGAAACATTGTACAGGTATGACTCGAGATTAACTATGAAATACCAACTCCAATGTATCTAAAATAAGTATTCAGCTCTTGTGAAGCCTCTTCACTATTTTTACTGAGAAACAAATAGTTTCAATCCGTTTTGTTTTATCGCTGGTTCTCGTGGTTTCACACGTATGTATGCATATGTATGCAGAGTTGCACTTCCTGAGGAAACAGATATAATCAACTAATCTTTCAGATGAAATAAGGTGCCTTGAATGTATTTATCGCTAACGTCTGCAATAAGTCTATTCTATGTTGCTTAATTTACAGCCACAAATAGGCTTATAATATTCTACTGTGAAATGAGAGATTCTGTCAGAAAGTTGGTACATCATTGTTTGTTTCTAAGTTTTTGCACAGATACAGTAATTTGCCCATATGTATCTGTAAACAGACTTCTTACATCTCCTGCATTACAGAAAGTCAGGTTATCCTTCAATTGGTGTCAACATCAAAACGTAGGCTTTGGGCAAAGAATGAGTGGAAAGGCGTGTGATGCGATTTAGCATGTTTTAAGTCATATTTATTTTATTTAATCAACTATTCTTAAATTTAATATTTTAATTCATTTAATTCATATGGTGCAAATTCACAGCTGATATATTTTTTGTAAACTTTTCAAGGCAAACAGGACATATTTATGTATCAAAATATATATTCAACTCCATCCAATTTCATATACAGTTTGAAATTAATTTCTGTACCTTAGAGTTTAACTCTAATTATAAAGCAATTCAATGGTTATTGTGCCAAGTGGTTAAAATGTTTGCTTTTAGAGGAAAAACCAGTTGATTGCATTGTTTCAGTTTTGTAGAAATAACTTATTTTGAGCATGTGGTAACAGTAGAAAAGGCTGGCTCCTTAAGAAAAAAAAAACACTAAAAGAAGCAGGCCCAGCATGAGCCGCCATCTGCTGCAGCAGAGTGAGGCTTTTCTGAGATTGAGCAGAGGAAACAACAAAAGAAGCACTCCAGGAGAACGTTATATCTTAAAGAAAAAGTAAAGAGTTATCTTCAGCAGTGACTCCTTGTGTGTTTTTATCCAGGAGAGAGATAAAGTTAAAACGGTGTGGGGGATTTCTGAACGATCAACCTTTTTGAGCTTTGTATAATTTCATAATGTTATTCTCCCATCAAAGTATACTTTGAGTGTTCATTCATGCATGTTCAAGAAATCCTTGAATCTCCTGTGGAAACCATCTGGTTGCCTGTTCACTCGCTCATAAAAAGCTCCACCTATTTACCCAAAGCTCTGTTTTGAGCTTTAGTCCATTACAGAGCACCACTCCCCCACACAGCTCCACCAGACTAGTGGCAGCAGCTACTAACAAACTACAGGTAAAATTGTGTATCGGCTGAAACTGCAGCTCTTTTTACAGCCTCAATGGAGAACAAAGAGAAACATTGTTGAAGTCATGTGATGAGTGTTGGAGAAGGTAGGAGGTTCTTAAAGAGACAGAGGCCAATTTCAAAGAGCTAGTTGCATCTATGATGCAAAATTATTTATGTTTTAAGCTGTTTTTTGGGGGGAAGGGTTTACATTTGAAGTAACTGAAGGTAAAACAATTATTTTATTGTGCTATAAAACGGCACTTTGTCACTTTATCCACCCCAAAATCATATCCAAAATATTCTGATTCTGAATATGTTTCAGAATCAGCTGTAGCAAAGAGTTTTTAAAATATAAAAAAAGGTAATGCATATTTTGGTTAAGAGTTTGAAGTCTCAAGTTCTGTAACAGGCAGTGTGGGAAACTGAGTACTTATCTGAAATATTTGTGGAATGTTTTAAAAGTACTGTTAGCAATAAATAGAAGACATTTGTAGGTTGATCAACTGATAGTAACTTAAAAGTGAACTCATACAAAAATAACATGAGATGCATAAGAATATTTCTGTATAATTCTGCTACATCTGATACAACTTCAATGTTAAGTTTTTTAGAACAGGAACATTGTGAAAGTCACACATTTATCGGAAATATCAACAACATGTCATGAGAATAAAAAAAATGAAGAAAACCTACAGGGAGGTTTGGATCAGGCACATGCTCTGACCGACCCTCGATAAGCCGGGCCTTTTGTTATGCTGATTTACTCCAGCCTTTTGTCAAAGCAACATGAAGTGTGAGCGTCCAAGAGAGTAGGACAAAGAAATTCAAAAGCTACAGACACAGACACAGAGCAGGCTGTATTCAAATCTGAAACCTTAATCACACGTAAAATAGAAAACGTAACTCTACCAAGCAGAATGTTTCCACTTCGTGGAAACTTTTATAAAAAATGTATGTTCATGTTTTATCAAAACTGAACAAACTGAAAGAATTAAAGAGGGGAAAAATTATATTAAACATGATGGTTCTTTCACCTTTATGTTTTATTTTTAGCCATTGTTTACATCTGGATTACTAGTGTTCGCTTCTGCTGGGGCAAAATTATGCTGCATCGTCATCATTATTCATCATAAAAGTTGGATAAACTGCAACATGACCATTCAGACGGCAGATATTGTCATAATTATGCATCTGATGTAGTATAGAAAGTGCCACAAATTGAAGTTTTTATTGGGGCAAAAAGATTAGAACTGATATGAATCATATGTGGGGAAAAAAGATGCTGTGCTTAAGTTTTGCTTAATCTGTAAAAAAAAAAAAAACATTTATTTTAATATGCAGTAACTCCTCATTATATTTTGAATTACTGATACTATGAACTCTTCAACATTGTCTTGATTGTGGGAAACCATCTTGGCAACAGAACATCAGTAGCAATATTCGATTCATATTAAGCTAACAGACCAAGTGTGACAACTGTATTCTCAATAGATGGTGGGACGTAGTTTATGGTAATTTCACAGACTTTTCGAGATTCTGTTGAATTTATTTCAGTCTTCATCTGCTCTTCATGATTTTATTTGATCCGATGTAAGTATTTTTTTTAAATTAAATATTGATTTAGAGTTTTTTAAATAAGTGGAAGAAATAAGAAGACGGGGGAGAAGGAGAAGATGATTAAAGAAACACACAGAGATGCATAGAAGTAAGGATGAGAGGTAAACCTAATTACAAAACTAACAGACAAGAACAACACACCCACATTACACACAGAGGTGTCCCTCTTCCCCAGAGTCCAGCCCCCCTTTTGACGTCACCAGTGCAGAGATACAAAACAAGCTTCCTCACAGTTCAGCTCCTCACTCAGCTCTCATTCACGCACCGGCTCACACACTCTTCAAACTCACACACAGACCTTCCTTCAGTCACGCTTGCCTCAAACCTGCTCAGCTGCTGTGGGTGGGAGTACAATCAAAACACAGCTTCTGACTGAGCCATGCTCCTCCATCTGAAGGGAGCGCTTCACATTGCGTAAATCTTTCGTCAGGGGAAATAGAAAGAAGCTCCCCGGACTCCCCGACCCGGACCCCATTCCAAATAGAGCAGCAGATGTGACTGAGAAGGAGAGGCGGAGAGAGAAACCCAATCTGCGCCCCCACCCCGTCCCGTCTTCAAGAACAATACCCTGCCTTCAGCTGGAGAGGGTCAGCCTTTGTCCTCCTCCCCAGGCTGCAGCTCAACTGAAGAGCAGACAGACGCGCTGACTCGTTGACCTGCTGCAGCGAAGAGGAGAGGACGCGGCAAAGCAGCCTGCTGCACTCCACTTGCTTTGATTCAGTACTTGGACAGTTCCAGAGCAACAACTGGAGAGAGAGTGTGTGAAGCTGTCATCAGCAGACTGTGGAGCGTCTGGCTCTTGAGGGACTAAAGATCACATCTCACTTGCAGATTAAAAAAGACAAAAAAAATAATAAGAAAAACCCCTGAGATGCAGACACCATGTTCACTCAAGCTCGACCTCAGTGGTCCTTCTCCGACCCTGGGATCCGAGGGAAGCACAGCCACCGGCAGCTTCCTGCAGCTGGGAGAGAAGCAGCTCTTTGAGAAGTTTTGGAAAGGGACTTTTAAGGCGGTGGCCACACCGAGACCAGAGAGTGTTATTGTGGCGAGCATCACCGCCCGCCGCAGGGTGATCGGGTAAGTTCTCTGAAATGTTCTCACATGTTGCTAAGCTTTAGGAGTTTAGAAAGAAACTCGAACAGGAAATAACTGTTATGTCTTCAAGGATATCTGGGTGTTTAATATACATATTATGAAAATGATCGTATTACAAATTCAAACTGAACATATGCTACATCCCACTGGGGAGGTCAACATGTTTTGAATTTTAAAGGCATTTTTCTTTTGTATTTTTTTGTTCTTTGTTAGTTTTCACACTAAAATGCACATTCTCTTTAAAAACACAACTCAACATAAAGATGCTTGTTGACATTTGGACTACATGTAAGAGTAGTCATGAATTATGAATGAACAAAATGTTGCAAATATCATATTTGCTTTGTGAACCTGCATAAAACGACTATTTGGAGCACAATATGTTTTTGCCATGTCTGTTTGGCCAAAGATTCGTGTGTCATGAATTCAAGTTGTAAGTGCATATAATATATTTTGCCTGGTGCATAGAGTCTCTTCATGCACCCTGACATATGATAGTAGAGTGTATAGAGAGACATGGATCAAGATGTCAGAGGTCTGACGAAATGTGAATTGATCACAGCTATAATTTCGCCCTCACATGATTTTTTTAATGTTGTAGAAACATATTATGTGTACAAATCCATTGGGTATTTTTGAAAAACCCCAGGAGTTGTAGCCCTTATTCTGTGTTGAATGCCTTAAATTGTGCTTTCAATGAAGACTGTTTAAGCATAAATATATAAAAAAGGGTTTTATTGTGATATGATGTCAGTTCGATTTCATTTAAATGGTCAGTATGACATGATAAAAGCATTTAATAAGTTCCATCCATTTACATGAAGAAATTAACCAGTTTTATTTAAACAGGCAATATTGCATGAAAATCAACCTTTTTGAGCTTTACATCATGTTATCATTTTATTCCCTTATCTAAAACATACGCTTTAGGAATGTTTTAGATAAGGGAAACATACCTAAAGTGTTGTACTTTCATGCATGTTTGAGAAATCCTTTAATCTCCTGTGGCAATAATTCAGCTGTGCAAAACGCCTGGTTGGACTTACCGCCGCCTTCAAAACTCCTCAAAACTGCAAGCTTCCAAGCTTCTGCCTCGTAAAGCCTCCCTCACCTGTGACTCCTCCACTTCGCTCTTGCAGACTAGCTAGCAGGCTTTAGCAAACATCTGATAAGTCATCATAGCTCAGTGAAATGCTGATAACATTGTTAAGGGGTTCATAAAGGAGTGGTGTTGTGATGAATTCCTGAATGCAGAGTGTCAGAAAAAGCAAGAGTTTCTTAAAGAAACCAAGACCCAATTTCAAGGCTCTAAGTTACTAAACCAAATTTCTTTTAAGTCATATTTGATTTAAACAGCATTTTCATAATTACAAAAGGTAAAATAGTTACTTGATTGTGCATTAAAATGACACCATGTGACTGGAAAACATATTTCTTTTTTAAAGTTTGAAACTTGAATAGCTCTAGTTTTTAGTAGCTTACGCATCAGGTGTCTTAGTTTTCTTCTGTACCCCAAACACATATCTGCCTTGTTTAAAGGTCATGTGACAGCGTCGTCCTGCCTCTGATGTCAGATCTGTTCCTCCTCTCCTCTGTGTCACGGCTTTGCCTGAGTCTCTATTGAAGCAGCAACCCGTCACGTGTGTGCTGGGACACTTCCATCCATCTGTCCAAAGGTTAGCTATAGTACAGCTGCCTTTTGAGGTGGAACGACGACAAACATTTCAAACTCTTTTTCTGATCATTCTCTTTTTTCATTTCTACATAAAACTATTTACCTGTTTGGTCAGAAGTTGTTCTGCAGCCTCGATGTTTACCTGATTTGTCATCTCTGACAGCTGTTACTCTCTGCGCATGAATGGTCTCTCCATGTGCTAACGCATAAAAAGAGATTCTACTCATAAATATTTTAAACGAGTGTTAAAATATTTGAACAGGCTTATGTAGATATACATACAAATCTAGCAAATGTCTGCCTGGTCGACCTTTAAATGGTTTTGACACTCTATCAACTTCCCCTTATGTGAAATTAGTTATGTTGATGAGGATTAGAATGGTCCATTTCATCTGACATCAGCACTGGCAGTGGAAAGGCACAGTGAACCAAATAATGGGTCTGTAATAGCTTCTGTTACCACAGGAGTGTACCGCTGCACATGGCTTGGTTTGAAAAGATTTTATTAGCTTTTTGGATTAGAGTTAAAAATACTTTTTATTCCTAGAATGCGACTGAACATGTCAGGGCTCCAATCAGACCAAATAGATGCACATCTTTTGCTTCAGTCTGGAACAAATTTAAGTCTATTTTAGGAAATTTGCAAACAACAAACAAAACAGAAAGAAAGCAAAGTAATGTGGCTCGGTAGCGTAAACTGAGCAGCCTTTTCTCAAATAGCCTGAGGTTCTGGAGCTTTGCCATACTGTCTCTTCAAGTTCAGCCTCTCTTGGAAGAAATCTGTCCTCCAGTCGCTTCGCCCCACCACTGTTTCTGTCCGGGTGACAGTGACGATGATGGCAGCGTGGCAGGCAAGCGCAAACATCCCCAGAGAGAACATAAAATGTTGCTAACTTGCCTGGACAGCTCGTAAAAGACAAGAGGAGTGTCCCTGTGGTCCAACGTTTGTTTCAGGAAAGGAGAAGCAGAGGGATCTCTGGGTAAGGCAGATCGTGAATAACGACTAAAAAGTAAAAACAACACACAGAGATTATGGAGACAGGCATGCTGCCTCCTTCCCCTGCTGCACTGTTGATTTTTTGCACAGGCAGAGAGAGCGACTTGGGAATGCTTAGACAATCAGAATGCGTGGCCTTAGGCTTGCTCCTCTGCATCCATCTTTCCAAGAGAAAGCATTATTATTCACTGTGGAGAACTGACGGGTGACGAGCAAATGCACTGAAAGCGAGAGGGCATTATGTACAACAAGCAGAGATGGAAAGAAAAGAGAAGGAGACAGAGAAAGAAGCCACGGGGAGACGCTTCATGTTCAATCAGCATGAGTTCTTTTCTCCCTGCGCTGTCCTCACCTCTCCTTTCCACTCCACTCCTTTTCTCTGCTCCTGAAATGAAATGCTGGAGGGACCCGATGGCCACAGTGGACTAATTAGAGTTAGCTGTCGTCCCCCGTGCCCCTTGCCTCTTCCCTAGGAGTCCCACAGAGAAGAGGAGGAGTTTGCTTTGTTTGTGCAGCAGGTTGGGCTTGCCGTCCTTCATGGGCATCTCTCGTTCAGATTACTGGAGCTCGGGTGCAAATGTCAGCGAGTGCGTTTGTGTGCAACCATGCACGTCTGCTGCGTCTGAGACGTTTTCCAGCAATTGAGCGTGTTTTAAATGAGGGCTTTCAGTGTGGATGTATGGTGAGAGTGTGTGGCTGCTCCGGTGGTGGGGCTTCGTCCAACTCTGTGGCAGATGGCAGGCATGAGTGTCTGCAAAAGGAAGCAGTGGGGTGTGTGTGTGCAACGTTGGAGGGGGGGGTATTCAGGCTTCTTACCTCGGCAGATGCTACTTTAATGAGGAAGAGGGGGAGAAGTGGTTAGAGGGGCTTGTCGAATGACAGCACCAGAGGGAGGATACGGCAGGCCGGACGGAATAGCAGGAGCACTTTTGAGTGGAGAGCAAAGCAATCCAGCTGCAGCCTCAGCATTGACTACAAGTTCTGAATACAGTTGAACAATTAATCATCTGATGAGATATGCAGCCATGATATGGTGAATATCTGTATTTTGTTTTAACCTTATTTTATACATGTTTGGATTAACAGGTCAGCTTCAGCCATTTTAAGTGAATTTACATCTCAAGAACAAAAATGTAAAAATCATTTTGCCTGTTCAGTGCATCTTTCTGCCATCATCCCTCAGCTCCCACTTCTGGCTCACATGCTACTTTACTTCTTATCCTCTTCAAGACTGCATTGTTTGCTGACAAAATTCAAAGTCTTTTGACATTTGCAGCATCAATGCTGAAAGGGACGATACAAGCAAATGCAGACAAACTGTTCTTGCAGCGGGGACAAATGAGTACAAGAAATCGAGTCTGAAAACATGAAGCAGAGGCAGTCAGAGCTCCTCCAGAGAGGAGGCATCTCTGCCTTTCTTGATCTCCCTGTGAAAATGACAAACATGATTTAGTGGCGGATGAGGGGTCTGTCTACCATAACTCTCCTCTCTGCTTGTTTTTCTCCTCTCTTCAGCACTAAGCACTCAGTGCCCAACATGCCTTCCTCTATGTATTTCTCCCGGTTTCGTTTCACTGCGTGTTAACTGGCCCTTCCTGTGTCTGTGTCGTATTACTCTGGGTAATACGGACAATGACTGGCTGCTGAAGCATTCCCACTATAGAGCGGGAGGTGATGCCAACTCCCCGGGAAGCGATTGTACTTATCAACAAAGTGGATTCATATGTCATGCTGATTTCCCAATCCATTAGAATCCCACCGCTGTTGTTGGCTGAACACCCGATGCAGCACTCATGTTTATTTTATGACACTTTTCATTCTGTATATGAGGGAATAAAACAAATACTAATTGGGAGGGTGCATCAATGATGTGAAAAAAATGAAATGGATAATAGCTTTATTTTAATAGAAAAAAACAAAAAAAAATTTGCAGACTGGCAAAAGAATAAACTGACAAATACAAATGATCCCTCCTTGGTTTTGAATAGCAGATGAACATTGAGAAAAATTGTATGCAAATGCACAAAAAAAAAGAAATAAATAAATATTATTATTATTATTATTATTGTTATTATTATTAGACAGTGAGAAAAAATTTTTTTATTTGTTGTATATATACTTATGATTTCATCTGTATGTCGCTAGCTAAAGAAACAAAAGATGGGAACTGGTGACTGCTTGTCATTTTAACACATCCAGTAAGTGTTGCTCTCATATAGACTGTGGTGACAACTACCTGCAGAGGAAAATCAATTAGAATAAATCCAAAGTTTAGCAGTAACAAATACCGCCACCCAGCACATTTCGTCT